CAGGGATGCGCCTAACGGCTCCATTTCTGGTCGGCTGTTGTTAGGACAGTCGGTCGAATGTTCTGGCCTGGTCTCTCTGCGTCCTGCTCTTCGTCCCCCCGCGCCGCCTCCTACTGCTTTGCCCCAGCGGCCGCACGGGTACAGGCCCTGTGCGTGCTGCGGTTGACAGCTTGTGGCAGTTTCGCTTGCGAGCTGGCGCCGTCAGGGCGACTCCTCGTTGGCTCTCGCTGTCATTCGCTCTCTGCATGTGCACTTGCATGCCGGTCTGCTTGGCGCGGTCTCCAGCCGTTGGGCTGTGGTCTTGCCGCTCGGCCTGCGTCTCCAGCTACTTGGCAGCTGTGATTAGCTTGCGCTGTGCCCCAGTTTGCTCGATTACCACGCCCTCTAGACTTTTCCTCGCGGGTCGCAGATCAAAAAAAGTATCCCCGCCGTTCTCGCCGACCATTGGCACGCCGCTGACGTGTGGTGACATTTTAATTCATCCGCCGTTTTGGTATGCATCGAGGATTCCCTCCTGGTCCTCGTCGGCCCCGGCTTGAACTACCTGTTCTTCAGCGTCGTTTTCGCCGCCTGAGCGGCAGCGTAGCCCGCTCCTGCTGCTTAGGGCCGAATTTAGCCCGCTACTCGTTGGTTGCGCGTTTTCGGGCGGCGCGCGGCTGGACTGCGACGCTCGCGGGAAAAAAATCAGTATCCTCGCAGCGCGGCCCGCCCCGGCTCGCCCCGCTTCCCGCTGTTGTTTAATTATTGTCTCTCTTCTCTTCGCTCTAGTGTGCAATTTAGGCTACTGCTTGTTAGTTGTAGCTCTGGACGGCGCAGCCCTTCCGCTTGCGCTCGCGAACAACAAATCCCCGCCAGCCCATTCAGAAACGTTGCCCGTCAGAGTGGACGGGGGAGGGGGCGATAACCACATATATGACTCAGCGTGAAACGGCGCGGGCAGCCAGGGTGAACAGAGAGATCCCTGGAGCAGGGGGGTGGCCTTGGAGGGCCTCTCTGGGCCACCCTTGGGGCCCGCGTGGGGGCGAGGGAAAGAGGAGGAGGAGGGGGGGGAGGGAGATTTAGGAGGAGGAGGAGGAGGAGGAGGAGGAGGAGGAGGAGGAGGAGCAGGAGGAGCAGGAGGAGCAGAGGAGCAGGAGGAGCAGGAGGAGCAGGAGGAGGAAGAGGAATAAGAAGCTAACGACGGCAACGACGACGACCACGACAACGAGGACGAGGAGAAAACGGAAAATAACGATGATGACGGCAATGGAGAGGACGAGGAGGAGGAGGAAAAGGAGGTTAGCCAAGACGAGGACAGAGCCCTCAAAGTCGTCACTTGGAGCCCTCTTGGTGCTCTTATGAAGGATATTAGGGTCCTGTTGGTGCTCTTTTGGGAGTTTTGGGGTCCTCTAAAAACTGTCTTGGGGTTTTCTTGGGGACCTCTTTGGGAGGCCCGGGGGGCCTCGGAGGGCCATCGTGGAGGGTGTCGGGGAAAGAGAGAGGGATCCTAACGTTTTGTCCTCCCTGTGGCCCTCGAAATCGCCTCTTGGGGCCCTTTTTGGACGCTGTTGGGGCGATTTTGGGCGCGCTCGGGGCCGTCTTGGGGGCCTCTTGGGTCCATGTTGGGGCTCTCCTGGGCCATCTTGGGGCCATCTTCAGGCCTCAAAGCGCATCGGACGCGAAATGATGAGAAGTCACACCTTTGTTGTTCTTTCGGAGTTAAATGAATTTTGGCCCGTTGGGGGGGTTTTGATGGGGGGGGGTTCTGAGAGCACTTGGAGCCGTCTTTCAGACTTCGTCGGGCCTCTGGGAGGCAAGACGGAAGCTATATTTGACCATTTTCGTCCATATTGAGATGCGTTGGAGGCCATCTTGGAGCACAGGAGGCCCTCTTGAGGCCATCTTGAGTGACAAGGACCCCCTAATTCATCGCGATCCCCCCCAAAAAAATCTGTGGGCGGGAAGGGGGAGGGTCCCCCGCCCTGAAGAGACGAAGGTTTTCGGATGAGGAACGGAAGACATCGTTAGGCCACCTTGACACGAATGGCTGGTGGGACTATGCCTTTCCATTGGTTTGTTATCATGGGACCTCCTGGGGTTGTGTGTTGGACCATCTTTGGCCTTCTCGGAGATGTCTTGAGGCTTGTCATCCATCTATCCCCTTTCCTGGGCCGCCCTTGGGCTCTCTTTGGTCTCCCTTCGGGCGACCCTTCGCCGTTCTTTGGGTTCCTGAGGGCTGCGCCCCCGATGCACACAGCATCTGGCCCGAGTTGCACAGGACGTACCTGGGGACCCTTCAGGGCCGCCACGCGCGCGAGAAATTGTAATTAGTGTACAGAATCAATTCATCCTCTTACCGCTGATTTCAGGACACCGGCTCCAGCAGGCCAGCTGGCAATTTTCGCCATGCGGGATGTTTCGATAATGTAACAAGTGCACCAACATTACGTATTCCGTACCCTCCAGCGTGGCGCGTTCGTTCTGGAAAGAGCATTATGGTCTCGTTCTTCCTCCCGTTTCCCTCCTCCGTTCTACTCACGTCCCTCCTCTGTTCTCTCCTCCTCTCGTCCCTCTTCTCCTCTCCTGTCGTTTACCTGGGGTACCCTCGCCATCCTTGTGGGGCTCAGATTTGCGACAGAGTCGCCACTTTCGAGGGCTTCTGGGGGGTCCAACGAAGTGACGCGTTGCGCAGACTCAGATTCGACCTCGCCATCCATAGGGGTCTGCGATCTGCGGAACCGTCGCCACTCTCGAGGGCAGCGGAGAGGTCTAGCGGAGCGACGCGCTACGCAGACTCAGGTTAGACCTCACCATTTTTGGGAGGCTGCGATCTGCGGAACGGTCGCCATTTTCGAGGGCAGCGGAGAGGTCTAGCGGAGCGGCGCGCTGTTCAAACTCACATTAGACGTCGCCATCTTTGGGGGGCTGCGATCTGCGAAACGGTCGCCATTTTTGAGGGCTGCTGGGGGGTCCAGCGAAGTGACGCGCCACGCAGACTCTGATTGGACCTCCCCATACCCGGGGGGGGGGGTGCGATCTGCGAAACGGCCACCATTCTCGGGGGTTGCTGAGAGGTCTAGCGGAGCGACGCGTTGCGCAAACTCAGATTTGATCTCGCCATTTTTGGGGGGCTGCGATCTGCGAAACGGTCGCCATTTTTGAGGGCTGCTGGGGGGTCCAGCGAAATGACGCGACCTCTCTATACCTGGGCGGGGGGGCTGCAATCTGTGAGGTCTAGCGGAGCGACGCGCTGCGGAGACTCAGATTTGATCCCGCCATTTTTGGGGGTCTGCGATCTGCGGAACCGTCGCCACTGTCGAGAGATTCGGGCACGTCCAGCGAAATGGCGTCTTGCGTGTCCCGGGGACCTGGCGGCGCGCCTACGGGCGTTTAGTTCCCGCGTTGCACGGTGCAGGAATGAAGCGGAGAATATGGTGGGCGAGGTCGGCGTCGCTTGCTTCTTTCACTAGTTATGAGCAGCTGGTCCATTGGAGCGCCAGAGCGACATGGCACGGGCCGCGCTGCTTTTCCAGCGCGCCTCGGGCAAATGACCGCCGCCCTCTTTCCTCATCCTGTTTTTGTTTGTCGTCGTCCTCTTTCCGCTTCGCCGTCTCACTGCTGCTGCCTCGTGAACTTATTCGGCCCCGCTTCAGTCTATGTCCTGTTCCTCGCTCTCACCCCAACTTCCTATCCGAGGTTGTGGCCTCAGTCCTCGTTGTTGTTTTGCTGTTCTGTGCAACGCCCATCGCACGCGCTTCCCACATAGCTCGCGCAACGAATGGCCGATTTTGTGGTGTCACTTGCCCACCTATTATGTGCGAGCTCCTCTTGCCATTTCGGGCAGATGGGTTGGGTGCGCCGCGCTGTCTTTTATCATGATGCTCTCGGGCTTCCGCATGGATTCCTCGGGTTTGCGTCGGGCCCAGGACCCTCCTCCCATGGCGCGCGAAGCGCGTCATGCTGGGGGCACGTCTATTCTCAAACATCGTAACCGTGCAATCTTAATTCGGTGCAATATTGGCTCGATGCACCCTTTCGTTGTCGTGCAATCTTAACTCGATGCTCCCACTCGTTGTCTCTATTGCTTTCGTTTAAAATGTTTCGCGCCGATACGTCGCGTAAACCCCGCCAACCCACCCAGAAACGATGCCCAGGCGAGCTGCCCTGACCAGGCATGTGGGGGCGCACGCAGTAAAAAGGCACAACCCGTGGTTCAGCATTCTCGGCGGCCGGCGTGGGGATGGGCAACTATTGGGAACCATTGCAGACCCCATGTGCGCGATAGAGCAGGGTGCGCCACGCGTGCCGGGCGCTCCAGGTACGCCAGGCCCCCGTGGGGCCCGAACGTGCAAGGCACGTTTCGCGCGCCAGATGCGCCATGTGCTCAACTTGCGCCATGTGTGCCACATGCCCAAGCCATGCCATGTGCGCCACGTCCAGGGCACGCGCAGATTGTGCCAGGTGTGCCCGCGCACATGACAGTGCACATCGGAAAAAATGTCGGCCCCCAACAGCCGTGTCGAAAACCATTGCTCAATTGCGGAGGGGAGGCCATCGTGGTGTCTGGTGGGCCTGCAGCCGGCACGCAGTATGCCAACACCTCCGCGGTCCTTGTCAAGCGCCAATGGACAGTGATCAAGATTTAGCCGCAATCTGCATATTGTGCTGTTTCTTGACAGGCGTGGCGGTCTTGCGCAATGGAGGCAATGTGAGGGCAGCCCCGCCGTCCCGGTCAAGCAAAAACACACAGCACAGTGATCGCGGGCCCACGAGCATGACCCAGGATTTTGCCCCAATGGGTGTTTGCATTGCTTTTTGACAGGGGTGGGGGGGGCGTTTGCATTGGTCCTGGTTGGCTCCCGGTCGCCTGGGGGAAGGGGGTGTTTACGAATGAGGAACTCTGATAAGCCCGCCCCGAAAGGGAAGAAGGGGGTTGGACAAGAAAACTCCCTAAACCGCTCACGCCTCAATGGGCTGTTGGGATTCCCCTGCCTGTCCTCCCTTCCATTCTCCGCTGCAAGGTGGGCGTGCTGTCGGGATTCTCGTTCGGCGCCATCGGGCATCCGATCTACTGCGCCGGGCCGTGCAAGTACCTGTCGATGGCCCGGGGCTGCAAGGACTGCCGACGGCCCAACGGATGACACAGACCCCTGGCATCGCTCGGACGTGTGCATTTTTGGCTCGGCGAGGGCCATCGAGGAGCACCCTTGATCATTTGGCGAAACAACCACGCACGAAACTGAAAGAAGCACAGGGAATGGACGTCCGAGCGATGGCCAGGACCCCCTCGCGACGACCCCCGAGGCTCGGCTTCCTGGGGGCCCTCACTCGGGCCACGGGGCCAACGACTCGGGACGAAGAGTGCCCTCACTCGGCCACGGGGCCACCAGGAAGCCCTTCGGGATGAAGACAAGGGGGCCCGAGGGGGGGGGGGATCCCGGCTTCGGGGGGGGGGAGGGCTCCTGCGCCGCGAGAGAGGCACGGCGTCGGAGGTCTGGGGGGCCGGGGAGGGGGAGGCACGGCGGCGGGAGGGGTGGGGAGGGGAGGCACTGGCGGAGGCGGGAGGGGTGGAGCGGGGAAGGGGAGGGAGGGGAAGGGGATGGAGAGGGGATGGAGAGGGGGCGGAAGGGTGGAGGGAGGGGAGGGGCGAGGAAGGGCACGGAGGAGGCACGGGGAGGGGAAGGATGGGAGGGGGGCGCCGCTCGTCCTCGCCCCCTCCTCGCCCAGGGGTTCCGGCCCGCCGATGCCCCCCCCCCCCTCCTGTCTCGGGGACTCCTGCGGCCCTCGGCTCCGAGGCGGGCCCCGCCGGCCTCGGAGTGCGCCCCCCCCCCCCCCCGCCCCCCCCCTGGGAAACCCCTGCACCGCCCGCGGGCCCTGGGTGTCTGCGGGCAGGGGGGGCTCCCGGCTGCCGTGAGTGTTCCCCCCCCCTTTGCTCGCCGCCTCTGCGTGCCCCGTTCGCCCGCAGCTTGCGTCCCCTGCGCCTCGACGCGATCCTTCTCCCTCCTCATCCTCGTCGCCGTCCTCGTCGCCGTCCTCGTCGCAACTCTCCCTCCCCCCCATACCCCTTTCGTCGCTGCTCCGCCTCTTCCCCGCGTGGAGCTTCTTCCTCTCTCCTGGGGGTGCACGCGTGAGTGTTCCCCCCCCCTTTGCTCGCCGCCTCTGCGTGCCCCGTTCGCCCGCAGCTTGCGTCCCCTGCGCCTCGACGCGATCCTTCTCCCTCCTCATCCTCGTCGCCGTCCTCGTCGCCGTCCTCGTCGCAACTCTCCCTCCCCCCCATACCCCTTTCGTCGCTGCTCCGCCTCTTCCCCGCGTGGAGCTTCTTCCTCTCTCCTGGGGGTGCACGCGTCGCTCCGAGGCGATCCCTGCCTGGACCCTGCCGCCGTCACCCCCACCTGTCCCAGAACGGAAAGTCTACCCGATGATCCGTCCTGGGCCTCTCTTGCCTTTGTCCTCCCCCCTGCTCCCTCCTCCCTCCCCCCTCCCAGCCTTCCTCCATCCTCAGTCCCCCCTCCTTTCCCCCCTGCGCTCCCCCCCATCTCCCCCCCCCCCGAGCCTTCGGGCCTCCTGGGCGCCCCCTGAGGGCCTCTTGGAGGCCTCTTGGAGGCCTCCCTGGGCCACTTGGGGGCGGGCGCTGTGCACTTTCAGCCCGTCTTGGGCGCTCTTGACCCGTCAGGCCGCAGGGGGTGGGGGACCGAATGCGCCCAAGTGGCCAGACGATGCGGCCAAAGCTCGGACCCTGTGATACCCCAGCCGTTGTGGAAACCCTTCGGGGAACACGGGTGAGAAACAGGAAGCGGAGGAGAGGGAGGAAGAAGCACCAGGAGGAGGAGGAGGAGGAGGAGGAGGAGGAGGAGGAGGCCTCTTTGGAGCTTGTTGTGGCACTCTTGGGGTCTCCTGGGGCTTCCTGTCTCTTGTGGGCTTCGCTGGGTCTATTGGTGGCCTTTGGGGGCTCCTCGAGGCATTCCTTGGCTGCCCGAGGGCGTACCTTGTCCGCCTGACTCTGTCGGAAGCCTTCCTGGGGGGCCTCTCCTGGCCGACTTTTGCGGCCCTCTGGGGGTGCTTCGGGGCCGTCCTGGACACCACCCTGGGCGTCTTGGAGGCTTCCGGGCCCCCATGGGGGCCCCCTGAGGGCCGTCGGAGGGCCATCTCTCGGAGGCCGCTCGGGCGCTCTCCGGGCCATCCTGGTGGCCCCCGAGGCGGCGGCCCTGGGCCGTCGGACGGCCCCCATCATTCAGGAGGGGAAAAAACACACAGACACAATTATTTGTCGATCCCCAGAAAATATAGGAAAATATGGGAATTGGGCGGGGAAGACAAAAACCCAGAAAATATGGGAAAATATGGAGTATCTTTTTATTTGTGTCTATTTATTTGTGTGTCCTGGGGCCCCTTCAATCATGGTCAACCGCAAAATTCTTGAGTTGACCGCCTCCGAGCGGGCAGGCATCGCCCCACTCCGGCGGCGAGCGAGGGGGGGGGTAGGTGAGAAGAAGAATGCCTTCTCAGAAGGCGGCCTAGGGCTTCTCAGAAGCCCTCCAGCCTTCTGAGAGGTGTTCTGTGCCTTCGGGGAAGGCTCGGAATATTCCTCAGAAGGCCGGGAGACTTCCGAGCTTTCTGAGAAGGCCTTCTCCGTCTCACTTGCCCCCAGGCTCGCGCCGAATGTCTGCGTGCGTAAGACCTGTATTTTTCGTCGCTCCTTTGTCTCGCCCACGGTCGGGTGCCTGAACTGCCAGATGCCTGACTGTCCGTCATCTTCCTCCACATGCTCGTCCGCCCTCGCCGCCGCCGACAGGACGGCCAGGCCTGCGACAGATGCCACCTGTGCGCGTGGTCGGGGCGTCAGCAGGGCGCACCAGGCCAGCGCCTCACCTTTCCCCTGCCCCAGACATGCGGAGGTTGACAGAGCTCTCACTCTTGAAACGACGCGAAGATCGGGACAAAATCGGATCGGGATAACTCGGAATCTCTGAGAATCGGCGGGTTTGGAGGACGTATTGGGCGCCGTGGCCGCTCCAGAGCGTTCCGTAACGCTCTGAGAGCGCTCCGGCACGCTCTGGAGAGCGATTTATCCCGATCGCAGCCCTGTTTTTTAACTCTGCCAAGTCGATCAGCAAACTGCGTCTTTCGAAGCTCGCAGTCGAGACGTGCTGAGGGTTTGCTCCGCGTGCCGCCTGCGCCACCGCGCGGGCAGGGGGCCCGGAGGCGGCCGGCGCCTGCCACAGAGCGCACGTCGGCGCCTCGGCCTCAGAGCGGCCAGCCGGCCGAGATCCACTGGGATTTTCCAGAGGTGGTGTTTCAGGAGGGGAAAAAACACACAGACACAATTAATCGTCGATCCCCAGGAAGATACGCGAAAATATGGGAAGTGGGGGGGAAGACAAAAACCCAGGAAATATATGAAAATATGGGGAATCTTGTTATTTGTGTGTATTTATTTGTGTGTTCTGGGGCCCCTTTAGTGTTGCGGCCGCACTGTGTTGCGAGCCTGCGCCCGCCGGGTTGGTCCTGGCAGGCCGATTCTCAAGAGAGTGTGTTCTGCGGAACGGGTTTTTTTGGTCACCCCGGAGGCATCTTCACGTCGCGAGGAAAGCATGATGGGAGATGTTTGGCGAGTTCTGGCCTCCGGCGGGCTCCTTGCCATTACTCGGGGCCATCAGGGGTGGGAGGGGGTCTGGAGGGGGGTGGGTCTGGACCTCTGCGGGTCTACGGTGTGGCCAAGTCGCGACATCGGGGGTCTGGGGCTGACGGAGGAGGCCGAAGAGGAATGGCAGGAGAAACCAGTTCATCTTGATTCCGCTCTCCACCTCGTGGCGGGTCTGGGCACACGCTGGTGGAGGGGTTCCCTCAAATCGGATTTGGCGCCCTACAGCTGTCAGGGGCCTCGGGGGAGCTGTCACACAGCGTCTTTGGGGGACCTTGTCTGTCCAACAAGTCGCGGTCTTTCCTGACATCTGCCACAGACGCGAATTTGAAGTGGAGTCGGCGCGGATTCGATGTGGATTCGCGCATTCGGCGCGCATTCGACACAGATTCGACGCTATTGGCGGCCCGATGGGACAGATAAGGTCCCCCCTACGAGGCGACGTAAGAGAGGGGCAAAGGGGTGTGTATCAAGCTGCCTGTGGCAATTCTCGCCACCGTGCCTGCGCCGCAGCGAAGCGAGGAGGAGGTTGACTTTAAGACACACTCCAGTTCAGCGCCCTGTTCGAAGTGTCGCGGCCTGTTCGACTTGAACACCCCCACCCTGTCCGCGGCCCTGTTCGCGTCGTCGTTCGTCGTGTTTTTGTCACACCTCCCACCTCCCTCTTCAAGGCGGATATGAAGCTCCTTGGGGGCTTATGTTGGGCCTTCTGGGGCCCTCTTGGAGCCTCTTGATGCTCGTGAAGGCTCGTCGGGGATCTTGGGGTTATCTCGGGCCCGATGTTCCCACAGAGCTCGCCCGAGGAGGCTCGATTGAACCACCGTGACACCGTCTGGGCGGGACTTTGGCCGTCTTGGAGCTCTTTTGGACCGTCTTGAGTAGGGTCTCTCGGGCGGGGAGTGTTGGAGCTATCTTGCGGCGCTCGTAGGGCCGTGCTGTGCCGTCATGGTGGCCAAGGGTGTCTGACGCTTGATTGTTTCAACCTAGTTCGTATCGTAGGCCCTCGCTGGAGGTCTGGTTGGGATTGGTCGAAAGCTGGAATGCGTCGGACATGGAATGCATGCGTTTCTGTATGTGTTTCATTGTTGTTGGTTGTTGATGGCCTCGTTGGACGCGTCTTCGGGTGTCTCCTGGAAGTTTCTTGGAGCCTCCTCTCCTCAACCATTTTGGGTGATCTTGTAGCCTTTGAGAGCTCGTAGAGCCAGCCTTGTTTGGATGTCGTTGCGACTTGCTGCGATTTGGTGGCGGCATTCGGCTGTCTTGGAGCCATGAGGAGGCCGAAAAGAGTGTCAAAAACAAAACTGGGGGGGATCCTAATCCAGCTTGCCCCCGCCGAGTCCCTCTTGAACCATAGACATCCGGCTTAATCAATGCTTAGTTTCGCGTGGGCTCCTGCGGCGCAGTCGCCCCTTACTTAACGGGGTGTAGCATTCCATGAATTCGTTCTTCCCGGGGAGTGCCTCCTACCGCCTCCCCCTCCTTTTGCTTCCCCCTCCTCCCCGTTGTGTTGCTGCTCTCCCCCGCTTCCCCTCTGTCCCCATTCATCTCCACCTCTGCCTTCCGCCTGCCTCTTCTCCCCCGCCCCAAACGTTATCCCTCCCTCCACCCTGCGGAGCCGAAACGCTTTATCTCGAGTTCCCGCCAAAACCGATACACGCGCAAAGCGGCTACCACAGCGACCTCACAGAAGATGCACTGGTTAGGCTGCAGAGTGCATTCGCACAACACGTGGGGAGACATGGCAAAGCCTTGCGTGGGACAGCGACTTTTGGTTGGCACGTGATGACGGTCACGTCCGCCGTATATACAGAAACGCGTTTATATCGTCGAAGGGGTGAGCGGCGCTCCGGCGCCCACCCTCAGCCCCGCGCGCGGCCACCCTCCTGGGCGAATTTTGGGAGCCGCCTTGCCTCCTTCCCGCCGCCCGCCGGCGCCGCCAGCCGGCGCCGCCGCCGCCGCCGTCGCTGTCGTCGTCGTCGTCGTCGTCGGCGGCGGCGTCGTCGTCGTCTTCGTCGTCGTCGTCGCTGCCGCCGTCAGCATTCCTGCGGCCTCCCGCGCGACTAGTCACTTGTTCACCTCTTCGGCCCATGATGCCCTTCTGGCCTCTCAGGTCCCGTCGCCTCTCCGCGACCGCCCTCCCTCCCCCGCCTCCTCCTCCTCCCGCCTCCTCCTCCGTCCCCCGAAGGACTCACAATGAAGTCCCGCCCACGACTCGCGAAGCCCATCCCAGTCTCCGAGCTTCTCAAGGAAGAGGCCAGAGAGACTGGGCAAGACGAGAGGGCGTGGCAGAGATCGAGGGTGTGAGCCCCAGGTATAGGGTCAGGTCGGGTCGACAAGCCCCTTGCCTTCCTTGATGCCTGTGATGGTCCTCCTCCTCATCCTCCTCCTCCTCCTCCTCCTGATCCCCTCATCTTTCCCCTCGTCCCACCCCAGTTCGTTCCTCCTCCTGCTCCTCCTCCTCTTCCTCCTCATCTTTCTCCTCGCCCCACCCCACCCCATTATGTTCCTCCTAGTCCTCCTCCTCCTCCTCCTCCTCGTCCTCCTCCTCTCTCTCTCTCTCGCCTTGCACTGCCGCGGGCCCCGAGGGGCGCGGGGGCGCCTTCACGGTCGGGACATGGACACGAGGACTACTTTGGGCAATGGAGGGCCTCTGATCTTCGGGCCGCTCCTCAGATCTAGGTCTCGAGTAGGGGATCGACTACAGATTTGTTTTACCCCAGAACCGATTTTCTCGTCGAATGTACGGAAACGACGTAGAATGCTCGTAAAACCCCCATGCATTTTTTCGTACATTGGACGAGAAAACGAAGTCTTGGGTACATGAGTACTGTAGTCGATCCCATGCGGTCGAGGAGCCCCTTCGTTCCTCGTTCGCACTTCTTCGTTGAAGCACGATGGGCGTACTCAGCCCGAGGCGCTCTTGCAGGGCCCCTCCCTGGCGGTCCTGGCGTCTCCCTTCTGCCGGGCCGGGCGACCTCGCTGAGGGAGACGCGTCCGATACTCGAAGGCATGGAATTGCACAAGCAGTACTGTGGCTCCTTGATTGCGGTGGTGCGATGCCCGTTTATATGAATGGCCATTCGGTCATATGGGGATGCGCACACGCCACGGTTTAATGCACCCGCATTGGCCCAGATGTTTTGTTATTGTGTGATTAAAAAATTCCTCTGTAGGGGGACACGCCCGACTTGATTTCTCGAGGCTGCGCGCAGATTTCTCGGACCGGCGCTGGACCTCCCCGGGGGCCCCCTGGCTCCGCCCCCGGGCGCGCCCCGCGCGACGGGGAGGGGTGCCCAGCTCTCCGCGGGGACCTCGGAGAGAAACAGTTCTACAGAGTTGTTCCCCAAGCAGTGTTTGCACTCAGGGTTCTTTACTTCTTCTGAGGAGCTGTACCTGCGTGCCAGTCTGGCGGCTATGTCGTCGCCAACGCCGCCCCGTCGCAGCCTGGTCGCCGCGAGTCGTCTGGGCCTGCGTGCCGGTCTGGCGGCTGTGTCGTCGCCGTCGCCACCCCGCCGCCCCCGTGGATAGATTGCACCGGATAGATTGCGCGGCATTGATTTTCCTTTCTAAGAGAGTCTTGGGATTTATTTCCTCCGGAATTAACGGGACACTTGCAATTTACGTATGAGTTTGCCCCAGTGTCAATCCGAAATATGGATTCATATTATCCCAGCTAGATCGGTACCCCCCCTGTCATCTTGAGGGCACACTCGTTTATCAAAAATTATCAGTTTTCAAGAACCCCTTGCAACACACTGGACGAAGTGCACACGCCCCAAATCTTTCACAAACTGAAGGTTTCATATGGATTTCAGAGTCGAATGCTCAAAAACATCTATCAACACATTGTTTCGCAACACGAAGCTCTGACACAGAAGCCTTCGTTCGCGCTCCTTCGAACTCTTAGGAAAAGCGTAGTTTTGTTTCCAACATGTGCAGATCATGCTCGATCGCTCGAACACCCTTGTGCGCGTGTTGTTGCGAGAATTCCTTGCAACACATGGGACGAAGTGCGCACGCGCGTCGTCGTGCGCGCATGCCGCAATTATTTGAAAACCTACGGTCGCGTAAGGATTTCAAAATCGAATGTCCCGAAGGACAAGATATACAGGGCTTTGCAACATCAGTTTTCAAAAGGAAGTTGCGCTTGTGGTTTGGCGAACTTTTCAGAAAACCGCAGTTCATTTGTTTTCAAAATGTTCATTAAGTTCGGCC